TTTTTCAGCACTTTGAAGAGATCTTTTGCTGCAGGTTTTCTCAATACAGCATGTCAGATTGATTCATTGACTTGACTGTTGTTTCCATGGGTGTGCAATGTGGATCCAAATAAGATTAGGCAATGAAAGTTCAATATATAAAAACTGAAAACCTGCCAAAGATCAAGACAAAATAATCCTAAAATAAAAAGATAAGGGGACAATATTTATAATCTATGACAGTGTTAATGCTTTCATATTAAATCAAGGGCAAATTAGAAAAATAATCTTAATAGGTCAATAGAAAACAAGCAATGTAAATTAATGGGTAACTCACAAAGGAAGGAAGACAAATAGTTTCTAGTATTTTTCAACCATGAATCTTTAAAGCATGAAAAATGAAATAAAAATTCTCATAAATTAACAATTTTGAAAAAATGACACTAATCAGGGTCCTCGGCAGTTGCATATTACCTAAATTTCTAACATTAGGAAATTATTTAGATAAATTGATATAAACATGCATTCATATTTTATGCAGCTATTAAGATCATGTAGTAGAAAATATTAATGACACGGCTGTTGATTGTAATGAAGTATGATCTCAGGCTCTCTGTTGATACCCTGAATACACACAGGAAACAATTTAAAAGCTTTCTCCCCAAATGATAACTTGTATTTCTCAAGGTGGGGGGGGGTTATGGATTTTTTTTCCTTCTTTTTGTGATTGCTTTTTTCCTCACATACATGAAACTAGGATCCCTTGCCTTGCTACCTGTTTGTGTAAATAAGGTTTATTGGAATGTGGCCATACTTATTTGGTTATGAGTTGCTTATCGCTGTTTTGGTAGTACGGCTGCCTAAAATACTTATTACTTGACCTTTGAAGAAAACACTTGCCAGGCCCCGGTGTATGTGGTCAAGATGGCTACAACTCTTAGACATTTTATGTATAACAAGTTCCCCAGGCCTGTAAAATTCTCCCCCGATCTGTAGAGGGCATATATATATTTTTATTCTTAGAAACAACCCTCTCAGGTAATTGCCCTTATACAACAACAATGTGTGATAAGTACAGGGATGATAATAATAATGTACTCAGTACTGGAAAAAAAAATTCTGTAAGCTTCTTGACTGTATATTTTTTCCCTTAGAAATAGCTTGAATCTGGGATAAAGGGGTCATCTTTGTCTCAAAGAATGACGGTAGGTTTGAACCACCAACCTTATGCTTAGCAGCCCAATGCTCTGCCCACTGTACCACCGGGCTCCTATATAGATCTCAAGAATTTTTGCCATACAGGTTCAAAGAATTTAAAGCAATCTACAGAAGCTAGGTTTTGACTTAAGAGATGCATTTAAAGCCTTATGAAGTTCTATTTTATAAAATAAGTTCCTCTGTTATATTTAAACAAAATCTGGATATTTTAAGGACATTTTAAAATTTGCAGTAGCTAAGCATTTGGACTTTCTGAACTTATGATATCTATGATGCTATTTTTAAGCTCTATTTGCTTATTTAATCCAAATTTAAATCATATGAAAGAATCATAACTGTACAAACTCATAAAGTGCTGTAGAAATCTCTTTTAAATTGAAGCATTGTCTTAGGTTGAATAGATTGGTATATGACCCAAATTTAAATTCTAATTATAAGTAACTAAAGAACTATGTCTTTTATATAGTCAAGAGCCATGTAGTTTTTTTCAAGAGTCTATTCAAATGTGTATTTTATATTTTTTCATCAACAAAAAGGAAACTAAACCCATGTTTTCTCCTTAGACCTTGGTCAAATGAAATCAAGGAGCCAAATTTAATAGAGGTCCACTATCATTATGTTACCTTACTTATGTGGTGGTGGTTATTGTGTGCCATTGAGTCCATTCTGATTTGCAGTGACCCAGTAAATCAGAACAGAAGTACCCCCATAGCGTTTCCTAGTCTGAAATCTTTATGGGAACAGATTGTTAGATGTTTTGTCCTGTAGAGCAGCTAGTGGGCTCAAACCTCCAGCCTTTGACTTAGCATTACGCCTGCAGGGCCCCTCCCTATTAGATGCCTCCAAAGGAACAAATTCACTGCCATCAAGTTGTTTGTTGCCAATTCACTGTGACCCTATAGGACAGAATAGAGCTGTCCCTGTGGGTTTCTGAGACGGTAAATATTTTAATTAGCTTACTTAGCCATTAACATTAACAGTTTTATTGGCACTTCATCTGCATATCAGTTGTGCAATCATTACAACAATCAATCTTAGACTGTAAATCTTTGGAGGAGTAAAAAGTCTCATCTTTCTCCAGCAGAGGAGCTGGTGGCTTTGAACGATGAACCATGCCATTAGCAGCCTGATACATAACCCGCTATTCCATCAGACCTCCTAACTTAGATGCCTAGTAATGGATATTTATTTTTCTTCCTAGAAATTGTTTTGTGCTATTCTTAAACATTTTGTTGTTGGGGACTTGAGTATATTATTTTGAAACATCTTAGAAGTAAATAGGATATGTTGGTGTTGTTTTTTATCTAAGGGCTCAAATCCTTTTGGAGGGTGATTAAATTAGATAAAGTACAAAATCACCTTCAAAGATGACTTTTGTGTTCTGTGACAGTTTTAATCACAGACCTACCTATGTAAAGCTTGGGAACCCTCTGTGGGCGCTAGCTGTAAAGGCAATGTTTTAAACCCGCTAGCCACTCTGAAAGGAAGGCGAGGCTGTCTGGTCCTGTAAAGGTTTACAGGAAACCTTGTAGAGGATGGCTAGGAGACAGAATCTCCTTGATGGCAGTTGATTTGGGTTTTGAGATCTGGTACATAGCTACCTACTGCACCCTGATTGACTGACTGAAAAAACCCCAAACAACCCTGTTGCCCTTGTGTTGATTCCAACTCAAAGCAACTGTAGAAGAATTGAACTTCCCCTTGGAGTTTCCAAGGCTATAATCTGTTTGGAAGTAAACACGCCCATCTTTCTCCTGTGGAGTGCCTGGCCTTTCCATTAGCAGCTGGGCATTGTAACCACCGCACCACCAGAGCTCCTCTGTTGAATGCCACAGGACTGTAACTGAACTGTTTGCAATGTCTTTTATGAGATTCTCAGACATGCCGGTTCTACTTCACATTAATTTCTATATTTATTGCTGCTAATTTACAAGGAAAAAAATCATCTTTAATTTAAAAATATGTAATTCTCAGCACAGTCAGTGAAAATATTAGCACAAATATGAAAGCAACACTTGTAAAAGTAGTTAAATTCAAATGCTTGTAGTTTCGAATCTACTTTCTCAAGTCGGTTTTTTGTTTATTCTGGTCCAGCCAAAACTACAAAGTTGTTTTTCACTTTGGAACAGTGAAATGTCTGCACTGTCCCCAGGGAGGAATGTTTAGAGAAAGGTTAGCCTTGCCTTCAGGCTGACACTTTTGAAAGAGTGGATACAGTGCCCCCTTAGTCAAGAGAAAGACCAGTTCTCCTCTGCGGTTTAGTGAATGTTGTGTTGTGCGCCATCTGTTGTATTGCCAGCGCATCCGATGCAATCCCAGTATCCAAAATATACTTAGATAACGAAGGCAAAATACTGCTTATTGTCCTCCACTGCCCATTGCACTTGTTTGTGGTTAGGCCTTTTATTTACAATGGATATCTTACTCCAGTGGATTAATGTATGTTACTTTGATGTATTTTTCCTTAGAAAGGGAGATTGAGACAGCTTATCTGCTAAGATTATAGAACTAGGATGAATATTAATTTACAGTACTGGTATGTTTTAAGATCATTATACAGTGTACTAAAATGATTTTGTGGTAGTCATGATTGAAGCCTGCTGCTCTGTAAACCAGAATGTTCCTATCCCCATGTGAATATTGTGGTGGGTGGTTGACATTTATATACTTTTTATAGAACATCTTATGAATGCTTACAATTACATGAAGTTTTTTTCTTCTGTTTTTATAGTCTGTTCGGCACTTGAAGTACTCCTTATTTAAGAAATCACTACTGGGCAGTGTGTCGGATAATGGGGTGGTAACTCTTTGGGATGTGAATAGTCAGAGTGCATACCATAACTTTGAAAGTACACATAAAGCTCCAGCTTCAGGGATCTGTTTTTCTCCTGTCAATGAACTGCTGTTTGTAACCATAGGACTGGATAAGAGGATCATTCTGTATGACACCTCAAGTAAGAAGTAAGTGTATCATGCTTGTTTCTTATCTTAATAACAAATAACTCATTAGCAATAGATTTGTAAAGTGTATAGACCTCTGATTAATGTCCAGGAGAGCTAAAGTTTGCCTACATGATTTAATCCAATGAGATAGGATTGTCTGGTTTTCTTCTTGTATGTGTAGATGGGAGTTGGGGGTGAGGGTATACCTTAGATTATGTATGAATCATGACCAAGAAAAATAGCATGTTAGTGATGCTACATCTTTTATTTTAGCGGGCATAATTAATTAGCTTAGTGTGATTCTTTTAAAAGTATAACTTAATGGATGCATTTTAAAAGGAATATAATTTATTTGGTTTAAAATTAGTTCATTATCCTAGGGTAGGGTTTCTAAATGATTGACATTTGGACTTGATAATTCTTTATTGTTGGGGGCTGTGCTGGGCACTCATTGTAGGATGAATAGCAGTAGTATCTCTGGCCTTTACCCATTACATGCTAATTACAACCTACTGTCATCTAAACATTGGTGTGTGTGTGTGTGTGTGTTTGTAGATTTAGAGCTGTTGCTGTTGGGTGATACCCATGAGTTGATTATAACTCATAATGGTCTCATGTAACCGAGCCCTGGTGGCATAGTGCTTACTCATTGGGCTGGGATCTGCAGGGTCAGCAGTTCAAAACCACCAGCCTTTCTGAGGGAGAAGGACAAAACTTTTGACTCCTATAGAGTCACAGCCTTGGAAACTCACAGGCACAGTTTACCTTGTCCTCTGTGGTTGCTATGAGTCTATTTACTGATGGTAGGGACTCTGGTTTTTCTTTTGTTTTCATAGTCAAGTAGAACTGCCTCAGGGTTTTCTTTGCCGTAATCTCCTCAGAAGCAGATCGTCAGGCCTTTCTCAGTGGAGCAGCTCAGTGAGTTCTAACCACCAACCTTTTGGTTAGTAGCTGACTGTGTAACTGTTCTGCCACCAGGGCTCCTTGATTTAGAGCTAAAGGTACATAATCTTCTAAGCATCTGGACTCACTGGGCTGTCTTTTTACAATCGGGGTAGGTGTGTTTACTAAAACACAGCAACAAGAGTGCCGCAGTTGTACTCAGGATGCTTAACAATAGCTAGGTTCACATGGAAGAAAATGGGAATGTTACTACTAGGAAAGGTCCTACTGTGAGCTTTTCTTGTGTTGCTAGAATTGTTGCTATTGCATAGTTCAAGCTTTTTGTTTTTTTGTCTTTGAAATAAGTTCCTACGGACCCTAATAGTCAGGAAGCCATTCTTCCCTTCTATCAGACCACCAGCAAAGCTCTCAGCTTCACCAGATTAGTGTCTGTTCTCTATTAGCTTCTCCAGAGAATCAAGCTACATGGATTCTGTTCCTCTTACCTTTTTGGTCAAGCAATGCCCAGCTAAGAACCAAGTAGCAGCAGCTGCGCTCCTGTGAAAGGTCATGGGTCTCTGTAGGCCTCTTAGGCAGGTCAATAAATGCAGGAGATACTTAAAGCTTCCTCTGCCCTGAGAAGGGTTCATTGGTTTGTGGAGTAAAATGTAGAAATTGTCCCATTCACTGTCAAACTAACAATAATTGGAGAAATAGTGGCTGCTCTAGGAGGGAGTAGAACAACGAGATGGGGCATCTAGCAATGCTTTTGCATGCTGTTTTCGTAGGAACACCTCAAATTCAAAACGTAAACTTCTGGGTTGTGGGTGTTACTCGCCCGCTTCTAAGTAAGGTTGATCTTGGTAGTCGGTGATTTATGTGCCGTAGAAACATCTATACTGCGTGCACTCACATGTCTACATATGCTTGCTTGCTTCTCTTTTCCAAAGGCTCGTGAAAACTTTAGTGGCCGAGGCCCCTCTAATGGCGGTAGATTTCATGCCCGATGGAGCCACTTTGGCTATTGGATCTTCCCGTGGGAAAATCTCTCAATATGATCTAAGGATGCTGAAATCCCCAGTAAAAACCATCAGTGCTCACAAGACATCTGTGCAATGTATCACGTTTCAGTATTCCACGGTCCTTTCTAAGGTGAGAATGTTTTCCTGGCATTTTGATTTTATTAGACAAACATAGCCTTGGAACTTATGACTTGTCTGTTGTTCATGAAACAGATTTTAGTTTTGTTTCATTATTTATTTCGGTATTTTAAATAATTTTGCTCTGTAGTCATTAAATACTTAGTTTTCAAACTGTAGGGGTTTTTATTTATATATATTTTTCGATTATTTTGTACTCCTCATATTTCTCTCCTAAAATACTTTTAAAGATTTTTTTGGACAGTGTTTACAGGGCATCTCCCAGATTCAAAAGCTTCCCATTTGTAAGGTTAAAACTATATATATTTAATGTAATAGGGAATGGATAAAATATTAATGTATAGTATGGGACATTAGTAACCTGAGCTTTTAAATATTCCATTACATTTCAGTCAAGTTTAAATAAAGGTTCTTCACATAAGCCCCTGGCAGTGAACAAACGAACTGTCAACGTGAGCAACCCCAGTGGAGGCGTTCCGAATTCTGGAACTGTCAGGGAAGCCACGGCTCCTCCCATCGCCACCGGTCCACCGCAGCCCGTGACAGCACCCCCCATGACAACAGGCGTGGGGAAAGGTCAAGTTGCAGTTCAAGAGAAAACAGGTAAATGTTGTGTATCTCTAGGATCGTTTTTCCTTTCAAATATGTATAATTAGCACTTTCCTCAGGAACCTAGACCTCCCATTCACCTGGATATTTAAGGCCAATTATTAATAGATGGGGCTTTTACTCCCATAAATGGATGCAGTCTTGTAAACTCCCATGGCGGAATTCTACCCTGTCATGTCACTATTGACTTAATGGCAGTGAGTTTGTTGTTTTGGGTATTAAAAGATACCATAGACTGAGTTAAACTTTTAAATTTAGCTATGAAGCCAAAGTTTAATGAAAGGCACTTCACCTCCTCACTTTAGCTGAACTTCTATTGAGAAATAGTGATTTTTGTTAAAGCAAAAGAAATCAATCCTTATTAATACTACTCCAGGTTGGGATGATGTCCCAGTGAATCCTCAGATGAATCTGGGAGTATGATGATTTGTTGTAGTCATTCTGATTTAATCCCTGAGTTAAAAAAAGAAAGCTTTTCCTGGTTCCTTTTATTTCATATTTCAGAATAGAAAGTGCGCCAAGTGCATAACTAGTTTTAAGTGCCTAATTATGCCTGGGTGGGAGGAAGAGGAAGCTTTCTGCTCCCGTAATGATTTATAGCCTAAGAAACCCATGAGGGCAGATCTGTTCTGTCCAAAGGCTCGCTATGAACTGATCTTGACTCACTGGTAGTGAGTTTGTCTGTCTGTTCTAGAGCCCTGGTGGTTCTGTCGAGCTGCAACGTCAGTGGTTCAAACCCAACAGCAGCTCCAAGGGAGAAAGATGAGACTGTCTGCTCCCATAATGATGTCCAGCCTTGGACACCTATATAAGATCACCAGGAGTCAGAGTTAACATGATAATAATTTGAGTTAATAGTACCTGACATGTACATAAGCAGTATGCCATTAATTTGTTAAATAAAAATGCATATGTTTCCATATCTTAAAGATTTCTTCTATATTGCTAATCATGTTGATGAAGTAGTTAGGAAGAATTAATTTAGATTTTGTGAAGGTGAAATAGGATAAGTTCCCCCATACTTACTATCGAGAACATTCAATAAAATCTATGTTCTGTAAATTTCTTAAAACCTTTTTTTATTTTTGAAAGATAGGCTGTACTGTCAGCTTACATGGTATACCAATAAGTTTCCAAAATGCTCTGCTTGTTAGCTATGTTTGTGCCTGTCATTTTAAACTTTCCAGAAAAGTATTTGTCTTGAACAGAAATATTTTTTAGTGTTCTTCAGTATGAGTTTACTATTTCTAAGCAGAAGCACAGCTTTAATTTGTTGTTATTGGTAGTGTAAAAAAAAATTAAGATAAATATTTCCTATAATTTCCTCTGAATATTTGTATAATTCCTGAAGAGTCATTGTGTATTATATGGAAAAACAATTAGGTCCTTATTTAAGGACTCCTACTAGAAACAATTATGCCTTATTTTTCTACAAATAACTTGGCTTTTACAGGTTTGTTTTTTTGTTTTTGCCACCCATGCCAACCCTCGGCCCCAGTATTTTCATAAGCAGACAATGTTAATTGTCTTCTGTTGGTATTAAAAAAAGTAGCATCTCATGCTTATGAATATACCTGGAGGGGAGAGCATGATTGGCAAAAGAAAGTATAAGCCACGTTGAAAAATTGCCGTTCACAATTTTAGTAACTTTCACAAATCAAAATAAAGATGCTCTCATTTAACATAACCGCCCAGAAGTCTTACTGTAACTATTTTTTTTTTTTTTTAAATAAGGAGGTTCCTGTGTGACAGCATTAATTAGGAGCTCAGAAACTTGGGTTTGCAGGGTCACTGATTAGTGATAACTCTTAGGTGATTAGTAAATTTCTGGCAAAATGACAGTATAGTCTGCCCCTCAAAAGTTAGAAGTTTTTGTTTCCTGTCCCTATTTTGAAATAATTGTAAAGGTCCAGAAAAGTTGAGAGAATAATAGAAAGAATTCCTGAACTCCCAGAGAAAGCTTCAAGAGAATTTCTTTGTAATAGTTAACTCATGATATAAACACACTTTCATGATAGTGCTGCACAAATGATTCCGTTATATGTTAATTTCTACGAAGTATTAGTTCAAAAACACCAAGCCCATTGCCTTTGGGCTGATTCCTACTCTTAGTGATCTATATGGCAGGATAGAACTGCTGCCCCATAGGGTTGCCTAGGCAGTAAATGTTTGCAGAAATAGAATGCCACATCTCTTTCCCATGTAGCAGCTGGTGGGTTTGAACCACTGACCTTTCTACCAACCGTGGGCACTTAGCCAGTGCTCCACCAGGGCTCTCACAGATAGTAGCAGGAAAGTTCATTTCATTAGCCAGACTTGGACAGTTTTTAGACAAACTGTTCCTTGCTTTCTTTGCAGCCTTTTCAGTTTTCACTTGGAACTTAGGTGCCAAATAAAACATTTTTAAGACTTAACACATACTGCTAATCCCCAATGCCAAGCTTTCATAAAATCTTTGGAATCTCTAGAACCCAGTCTTTAATTAAAATGCATAAAATGCTACTGAGCTTGCAGAGTTCCTTTTACAGTGTTGCTGCCCTAAAGCCACACATCATACAAGGGGGTACCCCCCCAAAAAAAACACAAAAACCACACAGGTAAAAGCTTCGCTGGGTGGGGATTTCATCGTACACATTTTTCCTGCTAGATGAGCATCGAGCAACTTGCTGTAAGTCAGTGCACCCAGTGGCCTTGCCTGGGAATGTTATCTCTGGTCACAGTGAATTTTTTTTGTAAAAGCAGTTTTGTTCAAGCCTCTTTTTTTTTTTTTATGGCCAAGAGATGGCGTATGGCTGTGAAATTTGTTTCCTGCTTGGGAAAAATGCTGCAGAAACTGTTGGGCTTTTGAACACAGCTTACAAGGACAGCACTATGGGAAAAACTCAAGTGTGAGTGGTTTTCTCACTGCAATAAAGGTGAAATGTCAATTGATGACAAACCACATTCTAGATGAATGCCAACTTCCTAAACAGGTGAAAATGTCACCCTGTAGTGCATTTGGAGTTTGTTCCACCTATTTTGGGGTTCTGAAAAGATTGCATAACAGTGTGTGACAAAAAAGGCCTGCTTTGTGATGGACAGGGGACTGGTTTTCCCACTACGATAATGGTCACGCAGCCATCTCAATGCGCCGTTTTTTGGCAGAAAACAGTATGCCTCTTATTCCACACACCTTACTCACCTGACCTAGCTCTGTGTGACTTATTTTTGTTTCTGTGAATGAAGAGGGACATGAAAGGACAGCGATTTGATGACATAGAAGAGGTGAATTAAAAACCAAGGGAGGCGCTATCAGCCATCCAAGCAGATGAGTTTGAAAAATGTTTCCAAGACAGAGAACCCCCTGAGGAACAGTAATGGGAGCAGTGATACTATGGGGGTAGGGGTAGGTGGAAGAAAGGGACAACTGATTGCAATCATCTACATTTAACCTCCCTCCACGCTCCAGGGGGACGAACAACAGAAATGTGGGTAAAGGGAGACAGTAGACGGTGTAAGATATGAAAATAAAAATAATATATAATTTTTCAAGGGTTAATGAGTAGGGTGGGGGGAACTGGTACCAAGGACTCAAGTAGAAAGAAAATATTTTGAAAGTGATGATAGCAACATATGTACTTGATGTGCTTGATACAATTGATGTACGGATTGTTTTAAGAGCTATAAAAGCCCTGAATAAAATAATTTATATAAAAATAAAGATTACCGCCTGAGAAAAAAGAAAAACTGTTTTTAAGAATGGAATTGCAGATTACACTAATACATTAAGTGTAATGGAGAGTACTTTGAAGGTGGTAAGGTTGTTTTGTGAAAAAATTTAAAGACATAGCTTTGGGAGAGGGATTCCAGGATTTTGGGGGGTACTTGCTCGCACACTGTCAGAGAAAATCAACTACTGCCTGCCTCTATCTTGTCTGCTGTCCTGTTCTCTCTGAGCTTGGTATTCCAGTTTTCTTTCTCTTAGTAAACTACAGGAAGGTCTGTCGAGCTATATGAGATTGATAATGCTGAGGGCAATGTTAGGCTTCCACCGTTCGTGAAGGACCAAGACTGAACAAAAGTCAGGGAAGAGAGCTAGTGTATATTGATTCGTTCTGTGATTGGTATTGTGCTAGATGTCATATATGTAGATAATCATTTGTAGGGTGAGCCACTCAGTAACGTAAATAAGGTGCACTGTGTGTACTTTAAGGGAATAGTATACATGTACAATTTAGAAAACTTTCTTTTAAATGGCTATAATACCATGTGGCTGTGTGAACAAATCATCTGAGGAACTCTTTGTTCCCTGGCGTACCCCTGAGTGGTACAAGCACTGCATGTGTTCCAAGGGGTTGACAGTTGGAGCCCACCAAGTGATGGCTCGGAAAGAGCCTGGAACCTGCTTCTCGAGATGACTGGCCGTTGACAACCTGCGGAGCATGGTTCTCTCTATTTGGACAAGCCTGCCCTGCCACGAGCAGAAACGGACTCAGTGGTAACTGGCGATCACTACGTGAGAAGGCTTGTTAATTGAGATGTTGTTAGATTCTGCTTTCATAAATTGAATGTTACTGACCATACAGGCAAATCTTACATTTATTTTTTTAGAACCTAGCTTCTGATGGTAATAGTTACTCAGCTGTAATAACACTCTTTTTTCACCCTCTACCCTCCCGATTTGTAAGGCTTGCCTCGGAGCATAAGCACTGATACTGTATCCAAGGAAATAGACAGTGGGAAAAGTCAAGATTTCTCCAGCTTTGATGATACGAGGAAAAGTAGTTTAGGCGACATGTTCTCACCTGTTAGAGAAGGTAAGTGTGTTCAGGTTGGAGACTTATGTTCTATTCCTGATAGTTATCCGTTTCTTTATTCTCTAAACTATGTGGGTAAGAGCCGCACTTTAACATAATTTATGACAGTTTCTTTGTTTTCTCAGTCCCTGGAGTGATACCTTCCTTTCCCCTGAGTAAAGTTATGTCATTAAGATGTGTCAAATGTTATTCCAAAATATACTGGTAATTTTCACACAGGAGCTGTGCAAATAGCTGTCAAGTTAGCATTTTGATTTCCACAGGTTTTTAAAAGAAGTTTTTCCTCCTTAGGTAATTTGTTACTTGTATTTAATTCTAAATAAATCTCAAAATCTTGGCTGTTTTGATATGCAAATAGCAGTCTTCTTATTTTTGATCTCCAGTAATTTATCAATGTATCTTGATTGCATGTTTAATCAATTTCAGACTGAAGATGTTGGTAAAATTCTTCAATTTTGGCATCACTAGCTTTTGTGGTTGGTGCAAAAATCTTGCCTGAGTTTTCTTGTATGGATAGATATTTTCCTATCACAGACAGCATTGTTCTTCAAGAAAGCATGTGAAATGTTTCAACCACCAATGCAATGCCATTTCTTTTGAATCTGTCATTTCTGACTTAGGGAACCACATGACTAATTCAAAATGGCCAATACCAGACCTTTTGGCTAATGCCTACGATATATATCATTATGCGTTCCATTGCATTTTTTACTTCTAATTTTCCTCGAGCCATAAATCTTACATTCCAAGTTCCAGTTGTTATGAGATGGTTGTATCTCTTTTGTCTCCTTTTGAGTTGTACTCCTCCAGCAAATGAAGGTCCCAAAGGCTTTACTCCATCCAAGTCATTATGGTCAGCTCTATGTTG